CTGAGTTATGTGGGCAAATACTGAAGCTGCATCTTCATCTAAAAAAAATGGGATTAGAAACCAGTGATACAGATGTTAAGAGGTGCTTGAGCAGTGGTTCTAGAGACTTGAGTTCTTGGAACTTCAGGTCTCCTGAAAAGTCTGACCACCTTTCCCCCTTCTACTTCTTAGTGGCATTATCCCCAGACCACCAAGTGTCTGTGTGAAGTGGAAGGAAGCCTAAATACCATGATAAAGCTGTATGAAAACAAATCTGAAAACACAGCAAGCAATTCTTAATAAAAAGTGATCCTCCAGTACCATAATTAGTTTAAAATTCAGTCTTTAAGTTACTTGCACCTTGAGAATCTGTAAAATGAAGCAGAGAGTAGACGCTGGTGTAGAAAAGGAAAAGGATTGGAAGACTGAAAGTCTACACAGAGTCTCTTTTAACTCCACCAATTAATTATGTATCAGACTAAAGAAAAGCAGGTATACTTCTTGTTTGAAACCTGAGACACGAAGACTCGTAAGTCACAAATGATGTACTGTAGCTATGGACAGGATAGTCAAATTTATTTCAGAACAGAAGCTTTGTCGGGCTGCATCAAATGCAGAAGAATACTTAGGGTCATGGTTAAATTACCAGTGTGCATAAACATTGAGGTATGCCTCAAATAAGCCTTTAAACTTTAAAACTGAACTATAACATACCCATGCAGTAATTTTTTTTTTCAGTGCTACTAAAGACAAAAGTATAGCCCGCACTGGAAACTCACAAAATGACAGTTCTGTTGCTCCTGCCCTTTGACCTCATACAGACTTTATGACAGGGTATGTGTTAAAAACCTAAACATTTCCACAAGATTTAAACATCACTGGGAAAGCTGAATTTAGAGGAAACAAAAGTACAATGCCCATGACAGCCAGCATTGTGTAACTGGGCTGTGTGAGGTTGTTTAGAAGGCTGGGGTTAAAAAGATACACAAAGAATTTAAAAAATTACCCCCAGTGTTGATGCGCTGATTTAAATTTAAGTACACCAGATACTACAGCAAGGGGATACACTGCAAAAAGGTCATCTATTTACAGAAGAGTGATTTAAAGACATCATGGTTTTCTTTACAAACAGATGTTAGAACAAGAATTGTCCACTTTTTAAAAAACTCTACACATCAACCCTCCTCTGTTACAATCCATTGAATTGCCGATATTTGAAGGCAGGTCCCTCCCCCCCCCCACCCCCAATTTGATTTTCAAAACGAATTTCCATCATTTCTTCATCTGTGGCCCTGGCTCTCCTGAGAAGTCTCTGGGCACAAATCATAGGAGGGCAGATTTTTTTTTTTTAATCTGCAATTAAAACCAAACTCCTGTGCACAGTTCAGTCATCACTGTCAGACAGTGTCTCATACTGCGCTGAGAGAAGTGGGGCAGGTTCCCGCTCCCAAATGCGGTTCTGTTGATGAGGAGCTGCTTGGTTGATAGCAGATGGGGCACATGCGATCGGTGTTGGTGGTGTGCTGCTGAGCATCCGCATGGTCAGAGGGTTGTAAGGGAACTGAGTAGAACCTGACAAGAGGAAAATGAGCTTTTCAGTGTTAGCATCCAATGCAGTGTGTACAGAATGGAGCAGAGCAGGAGTGTTCTAGTAAAATGATCTTTTGATGCCTTGAAAACAGAATGGCAAGAAAAGACCAGTGATGAATTTAACTCTAAAAAGCATAAGTATCTTTGATATCATATATGTGTCTGGTAAGTCTTTGATATCATATATGTGTCTCCTCAGAGAATTCAAGTAGAGAACTACTGATATCAGGCAGTAACTGGAGGAGCCTAGGTATACTAGCAACTTTCCAATCAATAGAAATCAGAAATATAGGGCAGGCGGTGGTGGTGTACATCTTTTGTTCCAGCACTCAGGGAGGTAGAGGCAGGCTTCAAGGCTAGCCTAGTCTACAGACTTGAGTTCCAGGACAGAGACACCCTGTCTCGAAAAATTCAGAAGTAGAAAGAAAGAAATCAGAAAATGGCAAATATCCAAAAACTTTAGGTCATGCTGTGTGACCTCTATACTGTCTCACTTGGCCAACTTAAATGTTTATGGGATGTAAGATGGGACACATTAACCAGAGTGTCACTTCCCTTTGACTTTAGATGGTTTAATTTTCCTGTCCCCACAGTACCTTCCATCAGCCTAAAACAAAACCATAAAACATGCATTTTTATCAAGTCTTTTACTCTTTTGTCAAGTCTTTACTCTTTTGTTCTAACAGATAATTCCTTCTTCCTTCCTTAAAACAAAGTAAAAGTAATGGAACCATGAGGTAAGACACCAACTGGGCAAAGGGAAAAGAGGGGCAGGGGAGGAAATGGGAACAAACGACACATTTATGTGTGAAGATGCAATGATGTAAGACTTCATGTTGTATGTTAACCTACGTGGTAATTTATGTTTTGCTAATACATAATCTCTTTACACATGGCACTTGAAGTTTAAAAGGCAAAAGACGACTTGAAGTATACAGTTATAATAATTATAAAATTGTAAGACAGGGGCAGGACTCATTTCAGATTTCAGAGTAGGAGTAAGGAAACAAAAGCATTCAATTCTCTGAGATTCTTTTAAGAAAGTTTCCTCTTTTAAAAAAAGGCTAGTTTAAAAAAAATGTTTAATTCTTATTTGATTGTATTGTGTATACTATCGTGGACATACTATGACATGCATGTACTGAACTCGGGCCAGTAGGCCTGCAATCACTTAAGCCATTCCAACATCTCACTGGCCTCTTATAGTTACGTTTTCAAAAGCTTACCCCCACTCTTGTTAAAATATTACACTTCAGTTATGATTTTGACTTCCTAGTAAAAGGCACAGTTCTTGGAAAGAGCTGGACCTGAACTTACCAAACAGCATTGTACAGAGATAGGGATGTATGGATCATGTAACTATAAAGCCTTTTGTGAAAAGTAGACCCAAGTAACGATACAGAAAACTAGAGTTGTTATCTAAACTAACTCATCTAACTCATAAACAGGAAATATAACAAAGCACTGGCACAAATTTAATCTCATTCTTATCAGTTAAATGAACCTCCTCAGGGTTCCCCACCTGTTGAAGAGGGCCTGTCTTCCCAGGCCCATCCTGGTGTCTGCCTGTGGTAATCACCCTCTGAATGTACTGAGGAAACAGAAGAAGGCCTTTCAGCTCCTAAGTAGCTTTGCCCAGGAATAGGAGATTTAGACTTCCTGCTGTTTGTTTTGTTGATCAGCTTTGGTTTGCATACTCCTAAAAGTGAAATTCGAGTTATACTATTAATTACTGATAAATAATTTAAGTTCTCAGTGACAAAAACTAAGCCTACCAAAATGCTGATTATATAATGGAAAAAAAAAAAAGTAGCAGCATGAAGAATCCAGATCTTGTGCCCGATTAAAGATGCTGTGTCCTTTTAAGGAGGTGGGCATATCATCATCCTATAAACTTAAAAGAACATGGAGGCAAAGGAAAACTGCTGGCCTTAAGAGTGTAGGTAATGTTAACAACTGTTTCCTTCCCTCTGCCCCGACCCTAATTTAGAAGAAGCAAGTGGAAGACTTAGGCTACTAGAACTATGTCGAGGACAGGATGCAACAGATTATGCCTTCTCTTCAGGACCTCAGCAGACATTCTGCAAGTCTCACTGGCTCTTTCTACCTCCCCACAAAGGTCACAGCACTGAGACACGTTACTGTGTTTCTGTAACAAAATATTACAGACTTAAAGAACCCACATCACCTAGCAAATTTTTTTCCTTAACCCCAACAGTTTTACCTTAACCTAATTGTATACATCCAGTATCATTTCACTCCTTAATAGTTGCCAGTTGATCTTAAAACAGAAATATACAACCAATAAAAATTAGAAGAACAGAAACAAGACTTCAGTGACTTAAGTTATACAGGGAAGGGAGTAAAACTAAATGTTCATTGCTTTAACCCTTATCTTAACCACAGCAAGATTTTTACTTGAAAAAAAAAGGAAACGGTAAGATATATGAGCACTGAAAGCATAGTGTTTGTTAAGAGTTTCTGTAGGTTGGATTTATAGGTTGTAAATGATCTCATACTAATATGTATCTTGTTTCTGCAAAAGACGTTGAGTAATTCCTATTCATCATCTTTCTGGGTTCTGGGAATCTCAAGGATTTTAGGTTTAAACAAAATAAACAAAACCCACTCTTTCGTCTGAGACGTGTGGGTTAGGAGTGTAGGTGTAAGTTCTTTCTGTCTCACTGGTCTTAGGGCCAAGTCCAGGTGAGCAGCACTGTTGGTCCACTCCTTTGCCCTTATGGAGTTTTGCTCCCTTTCTGTGGTGTCCTCTGTGGCTTGCAGCTTGGCCATTTTTATTAGAAGAGTGAGTGACATGGCAAAAAACAATACTGAGGCTGAAGAGATGGTAGTTAATAAGAGTACTTGTTGCTCTTGCCTAGGACCCCAGGTTAAATTCCCAGCATTCCATATGGTGGTTCACAACCTTCTGTAACTCCAGTTCAAGGATCCAAAACCCTTTAATAGCACGTGCATTCTCTCAGTGATCCATCAGAACCTAAAGTAACAGCACACTACAATAAAAACCTTACCTGAATGAGCTGATGGGTCCCCTTCATCTCTTCGTGTCTCACTGCTCGTCACAACTGAGGTGCTGACACTACCAGGCACAACTCCTACAGTCTGGGGCATGACAACGCCATGATCTTCAACTTTATCATCGAAACTTCCCATGAGAGCCTTTCTGATGATGTCTTCTAGACCAAGGTTACTGGCAGGATCAGCAAAAGAATGGCTTCTTGAGCTAACTGCACCTGAGGAGACAAGGCAGTGTGTACTGCTGCTTGTTTCTGAGGCAGATTATGCCATAGGAAAACGGACAGAGAGAAAGCATGGTCTCTACAGCCCAGTGAATTCACAGCACTGAGACCTAGGGATGACCTGGGATGATGCTAAGAAACCTGACAGTGAAGTGCTGCACTCAGTGTCATCCCTATCATTTCTTGGTCTTGCTCACTTTTCAGCAAGTATTTAGGAATCTTACCTGATGTAGTAACTGCTGGCAGATTGAAGATCTCAGTTCCCGGTTGTGCAGCTGCTGCATTCAAACAAATCTTTAGGTTAATTGAGACGAGATAATCAAGAAATTCCAGAATAAAATTAACCTTTTACTTTTCTACATACATTTCATTTACTATGTGATGAAATGAAAATATCTTTCTTGGGACAGAGAGGATATTAGAAAGAAAAAGTGAGATCAGGTAGAAAATTTAAAACAAAAATAAGATAATTCACAAGAGAAAAAGAAATGTTGCATTGCTGAAGGGGGATGCACAAATAGAACAGGAAAAAGTCAATTGTAGAACAGGAATCCAGGTTTCCTAGGGATGAAGGCTTGGACTTCAGAAACCC